CAGCATGGTCAGTGATGACAGCAATGGCCCACAGAGGGACCTGAGTGGGAATAGATATGCAAACGTTGTGATGCAAGAGTCTATGAAAATGGTCTGAACTCCCAGTTGCCTCTAAAGCAATGCACGTAGTAAATTGTTCTGTAAGAAATCCAAAGACTGAAATATATTTGCATAAAAATTGCACTCTTTCACACAGTTAATGGATTTATGAAATTAAGACCATTTTCAGATTATCGGCAATCAGCAGAAAGACCCTGCAGCGGAATAATCAGTGTTACCTGTGAATAGCCTGCCCTAAGACAGCTTCCTTTCATACTGCAGCTTTTCAGGTTTTCAAAGGTACCTTTCTCCTGAGTAACATCACCTATCAGTTCTGTGGTAACACAGAAAGCCTGTGTGAGTCACTCTTTGAATAAACGGCGGAAAGCTTTCAATTTAGTGTGTAGTGTTCAAGGGGAACACCTTTCCAGTGTTTCCACATGAAGAGTTTTACATTTGAATTTTTTAACCTGAAGACAGTAAATTCTCATCAGTTTTACTCTGCAACATTGTTCAATTGTCAATAATTGTTCTTTTCATAGTGATAAAGTAGATTTACTTGATCACTAGCAACTAAACCAATAAGTTAGCCTGCAACGCAAGGTGGATTGAAGGAGTTTTTATTAATGCTTAATTGATTTTTGCTCTAGATGCTCATGCAAAGTAAACAGTGTCATTAAATAAAGATTTGTTTAAAATGCGATCAGTGGGCAATCTGCTTGCTACTATCCTTTCTTCAGACAGGAAAGGCTTCAGGGGAGAACTTACTGTGATACTAATAGTACTGAGGAGACGACCTAAAAAAAAAAACCACCCAGCTGTTGTAGACAATGTGGTTTAAATAGGAATTACCTTGGAGATGCAATGCTAATTCCCTACCATATTTAATTCTGTTTTCCACTTAAGTCCCATCCATTTTCAGAATGAAGAATTTGTTGTGTCAACGTTCGTACTCTATTTTTTTTTCTTTCTGTGCCTCTTGCCCTCTGATTTAGAATTTAACAGCTGCCTATTTTGAATGCTACAGCTGAAATTTTAAGCTTTATTTCTGCTGTGGTAACTGATCCCTCTTGCCTTTACCTCTCTATTTCTAGCTGCATGATTTTATTAACCGACAAGCTGTTACTTCGTTTAACAGCAGAACATAATGCCTTCCTTTGATAAACACAAGGCAAAAAAACAACCCTTGCAAAAGCTAGGAGTTGCAAACATCTGAGCTCTTCTTTGTAAAGTTTTCAGAAATAGAGCCATAAATATACAAGAATATTTATCGTACTAGATTCTCTGTTATTGCTAACATAATTAAATAAAGTAAGTCTATCCAGATTTATATCAGCATAATAAAAAGCAACATTTCATGCCCATAGTCGCTTGCAGGCTAGAGAAACAAAAGGCTTCTTTAAATCCAGAAGATAATACTTGCATAAGGAGTGCAGTATTCACTTTAATTCTAATTTGGGGTCTAAGTTTACTGGCCTGGGTAGTAGAGAATGACTGAGGGAGGGGCTTTCAATGAGCCAATTTATATACTAAGGTATATAAATTGCTGGGCCAGTTAACAACATGTGGAAAGAATATGATTTTTTATTCACTTTGATTTACTGTCTGAAGCTATACCTATTTTCCTCCCCCCCAAATTGGGAGGGAATAGAAATACCACATCTAGTTCTTGCACTACTAAGTATGAATGTGCTGCACGGGATGAATGAGATGAGGCACCTTATGTAATTTAATTCCTGGGCTCCTTTTTTTTTTTTTTTAAGGCTTTTCTTGAGGGCAGAATTATGAGGGAATGATTTGTATTCCCAGTCCAAACCTTCTTACACAAAGAAATAAAATATATTGCCGAATGCTTGGTTGATTAAAACTAGTAGTGAAATGAACCAAAGGAAAGTTTACCAAACAGTATAGATATATTAAGGCTTATGAAGAAACCTGAGAAGAGGAAGACTGCACTATGTGTTCAGAATGAAAACAAAACCAGGGATGCATCAGCTGTCTGCATGAGATGATGGATAAAAGATGCTCCTTGCAGCTCACAACCTTTTATCTCAACTATACCATGTTGTTTCTCCTTTTGGAGTGCAATAAAAAACAAACTGTTTCTGTAGGTCTTGCAGGATTTTATACAGCATATGAACTGATGTACTGAAGCTGAAGGTCCATCTGTTCTAATGCCTTGTCTCCTACTGGTCTTGGCTTTTCATGCCTAAATTCTGCTACCAAAATAGAGAAGTTTGATAGCTTTCCCTTTCTGGGGAAAAAGTGACTTCTGTGCATCAGGTTAAGATTTGAATAGCAGAGGCCATGGAGTATATGGTGGAGGGTGCTAGTAGAGGTGTAGAGGTGGGGCAAATCTGGCAGGAGTGAGACAGTGCTTCTCATAGTGTTCCTGATTTGGGATGAAGACTTTTTTTTGGTGTGCAATAGGGTTAAGACTCAAATTACAGCTGCAAGAGCATCACCTCCCACACTTAAAAATGAGCTGGGATCATGCACCTTGTGAGAACACTGACATTGAACTCCAGTCACTTAGGGCAGAAGATTTCGGAAGTAGAAGAAAAAGCAATTAGATGCTTGGGGAGATTTTCTAAGGCTTTAGTGAAGTGAAACGTAGGTGTACTGCAGTCACCATCAACAGCTTCCTTACGCTTCTTCTAAGATGTGGTGCTCCAGCGTTTTGGGCGAGCGCTGGGTGTGGGGAGTCACAGGGGGACCAAGTCGCCTGGTCTCCCTTTTACTCTTGCCCCTCTCTTGGTCTGCGTCGAAGGAACAAGTGCTCCCAGTTTATCACGCCTCCCACTTCGCTCCCACGGAGGACACGAGGGAGTGGGCGCAGGAGGCCGGGCGGGGGGCGCAGCCCCTCCGCGCAAACCCCAGCACGGGGTGGGCCGGGAGAAGGCGGGTGAGCGTGGCGGGAGCCTCCCTGCCTCCCTCCGCTCCTCCTTCCCTCCATCCCTCCCTCCCGCGGCGCATCCTCTCTCCACCCCTCGCCCTTGCCTCTCCCTCACACTCGCCGCCTGCGGGGCTGCCGTCGGGGGTGGCGCCAGCAGACCCGGCCCGCTCTCCCCCGCCTCGGGGATGTGCTGAGAAGGGGCAGCTCCCCTCGGGCCCCTCCGCGCGTCGCCCTC